CGAATGTTCATTAGACGTTCATATCAGCGAAGTCTTGCAATCATAAATAGAAGCATGTAAAATGGTCAATTTTTTATTCTGGTTTGATGTAGAATTCTTTCGCTTAGTTGGTTGAGCGCCTATCCATACTTGCTAGCCACGTATCAGCTGTGCGTCAAGTCGGTTTTTTTTGTCACTAATAGAAATAGTGCTCGGTTTTTGTGGCCTGAATGACCGTTTTATTACACGTCGTGAGCAACTTTCGATTAATATAACGATTCTTATTATAGTTGTGATGTATCAGAAGAGAGAAATTTGATGATAGAACATCGAGTCACATCAGAGAATTGAAGGGGAAAAATGAATCAAGAGGAAGTTTTCCTCTAGAAAATGACTCGAGGTGACTCCAGTTAAATTTTGATGCGACTCGGACTCGAAAAAGTGGTGACGCGCTCGTTTCCGGAATCGATAAAGAAGAGAGACAATGAAAGAATAGTGTCTGATTTTATACCAGATAAATGACAAGTTGAATTTGCTGAATGCGGTTGATAGAAGACAATCGGTAATTATTTTGGCGCCAACATCCTCTGGTAAGTGCACTGTACGTTTACAATAGTTCAAATTTTAATATATGTTTTGGATAAAGTAGAAAAAATATGCTTGCTTCGCAGTCATTCCGATCATTTATTGATTTCTTTTTGTTTTAGGAAAAACCTATGCTTCCTATTATGCAATGAAATCCGTATTGAAAGAAAAGATCGATACATACATCTCTACATTTATGTTGCTCCAACCAAAACTTTAGTTAACCAAGTTTCAGCAACTATCTACTGTCGATTTGGTCCTATTTTCGGTGTGTTTACTCGTCGTTATCATACCAATGTTAATGAGTGTCAAATTTTAGTTACAGTACCACAATGTTTAGAAATTCTACTACTTTCTTCATATCATAAACAATGCCGTGATCGAATACGATATGTTGTCTTTGATGAAATACATTGTATGAGCATAGCAAATCAGACAAATTATTTTTCGTCCTGTTTCGAAGGAAACAGTATACGTATTCTGGTCGGTTTTTGCACATAGATTCCGAATTCGGCGTCTGTTTTTTGGTGTCTAGTCTAGTTTTCGAAAAATAGACGAAAAACTGATTTTCCGTGGAAACTAACGCTTTTTATTACTTTCTCTCTTTTTTTTTCATTCTGAATATATATGTTTTTCTTTCCATTTTCTCTTTTTCTATAATATTGTGTGAACGAACAGAAAGAGAAAAAGAATATCCATCTAAGCTTGTATCAAGCACTGCTATTACTTCAGTTCAGTATATCTGTTCAAAATAGAGCAGATATAAAATATCAATTTTATTCCGATAGAAAAAAGCAAGACTGATACTAAGAAACGCTACAATTACTTGTATAGAAATCATTTGTATGCTCTCGCGGGGCACAAAAAGTAGATTGTTAACTCCTTTTCGTAGTAGGCAACGTCGTTACATCAGCAGCTTAAACAGAAGGAAAAATCTGAACAGAATCGCCTGATTTTTAGATGTCAAGACGCTAGCCTGGTCCAATTTACACAAACGCGTTTTAAAAGTAACTGATTCTTAGTAAGAATCAGGCAAATCATTTTTCGTCCGGTTTAGAAGAAAACAGTATACATATTCTGGTCCGTTTTCGCACGTAGATTCCAAATCTGCGGTCCGTTTTTTGGTGCAAAGTCTAGTTTTAGAGAAAGAAACGAAAAGTAGTTTTACGTGAAAACTACTAGCTTTTTCCTTTCTATCGTTCTTTTTCTCAATGTCTCTCTCTTTCTCGCTCTCTTATTTCTCGTATTTTTGGTAGACAGGTATGATGAAAGAAGAGAACGAGAAAGAGAATATCCAAATATAGTTTGTACTGTATAATCAAGTTGTTGTACAGCTATTTATTCTTGTTGAACATTGAGTAGGTATGAAATCAACTTTAACGACTTTAGACAAAACGAAAACAACTGCAAACATGAAAAACAAAAAATAAAAAAATCGTCTACGATAGTCATACATAAATACGTTGAATATCATCATTAAGGAAATCAAATTTGTTAAGGATAGATTCTTCGGCAGAAATACTGTCTTTCATACTCCAATTAAAAAACAATCTCTTTAGTGCGACCGCACCTTGTGGCTGTAATCCTAAGCCGAGCAATCGTAAACGTACCCGTTTTTGTAATAATTGAACGTTAAAATTTCTCTTATTCGTTGACATAAAAAAATCCTTTGTAGTAATATCATTAAATTTTTCATTACCTTGCAAGCTATACAATGCAAGGTTGTTGTATTCTTCGTGGAATTCGAATGCATGATTACCTAAAACTTGAATATATATGGTGACAGCATCACTTCCGAACAGAATTTTATATCTCTCACACCAGTCAATTGATTGCTTCTTAACATGTTGGAATATATCAGTAATACTGTACAACTTCATTAGATCGAAAAAATCGTCGCATAATTTACGAATAAAAAAGGTTTTCTGATTGTCTTTTATAATAGCGTATAATGGAATATCACGAAGAAAACGTTCATGCATCTGCGCATTTAATCTACCGGCAACTTCAATTTCATTCTTTTTCGTCAACGTAAATTTATTTGTCTAAAACAAAAAATGCAAATTAGCTGGGTGCAGATCGGTTTTTCACAAATCTAAAACTTACATTGGTGTCTTTAGCTCGTTGTTCTAGAAAGGTCATTACATTTTTCAAATGTTGAGCATGTTCAGCTATTGTATCTGTTACGCTTATTAACAATATTATTTCAGCTAGTAGTACGTCCGATATTCTTAATTTCATATGTAGTGTACCGGTGATAACTTGTTTGTAGCTGGAACCAAAATCAGTCATTTAGTATAAGAACAGTAGGAGCCGGTACCGAACAGGACAATGTCAAAACTAGTGACACAGTGGTTGTTCAGCTTACTGTAGTTTTCGGTGGAAAAACGGTGCATGCTGGTATCCAAAATCTGGTCTAGATTTTCCGATTTCTTTGTATTGCTGATCCAATGTTCGTGCACCCTTCGCCGAGTCAAACGCCGAATATTTCCTAAATTTAGCCATATTCGCGGCTGTGCAATGGGGATTCTTTAACTTTTAACAGAGGGGATTATGAACGCCGAAAGACAAACCAATGGGATTATTCAGCTGATGTGCTTCTGCTCCTTCTCCATTGCGTCTGACGATAATATCACATTCGTTTACTCCTTTGTACCACCGGTTGACTCGATGATTCCCTGCTTCTGCCAGGTAGAGAGTACTCTCCGTATCGACGACAATTCCTCGAAGCGAAGACAGCTGTGTTGTACTATTCCCCTCTCCTTGACCACCTGCCACAACAATTCCTTCTTTTGCCTCTTTCTTCCATTTCATTACGCAATGACAGCCCGGTCTCATAGCCTGAACGGGATATATATCTTGATGGGGATATCACTCGTGAGACCGGACTGTATGATTCTCATTGTCAGACACGAACTCAGACAGAAGACTATGCTTTCACCATCAACAGCAGCGTAACGGGGCAGATTGAGTTGATGGATACCCTCACTGTATCCATTTCCACCAGCCACAACAATATCTCTGGAGTTTCATCCTTTGGGATATTGTTTGACTTCATGTCTCTCAGTGTCAATGAGATAGAGACTTCCTTCGTCATCCATGGCTAATCCCCGACAACTGATTTTGTCAATGATCTTCTCACCACGAGTAGTGCTACTCGAGTGTGGTACTTACCACTTTGAAGAGACCATTTCATCACTCGCTCATTCACTCGATCGCAGATGAAAGAGAGTCGGCCTCTTTGTCAATGAGGACATCCTCGATCCAATATAACTGATGTAATCCATTCCCTTTTCTTGATCATCAGCTACTAAAAGCCAATCTTCACATCCGCCGATATCCAACAAACAGCAATTGTACTCTTTGCAGAAAAGATTACAAGGAAAAATGTGATATTTTCAGTAGACCGACATGGTTCAGTGTTATCTACGTCGCCACAGCTAGAATTAGTATGATCGTTGTTGCTCCAAATTATAAAAACCAAAAAGTGTACATAAAAACACCTGACAACACTTAAGAGTACGTAAAGTACTAGTACTTGAGTACAAAGTACAAGTACCAAATACTTTTTTAACTACATGTACAACTATCAAATACTTTTTTGCGAGTACTTGTGCTCGGTGCACTTGTAGCTGTACTTGTGCTCGGTGCACGTGTAGCTGTACTTGTGCTCAGTGCACGTGTAGCTGTACTTGTGCTCAGTGCACGTGTAGCTGTACTTGTGCTCAGTGCATGTGTAGCTGTACTTATGCTCAGTGCACTTGTACGTGTACTTAGTGTACTGATCCGGTCTCTAGAAAGGTCATTACATTTTTCAAATGTTGAGCATGTTCAGCTATTGTATCTGTTACGCTTATTAACAAT